ATTTAGCAACACATTAAAAAGATCATACACCATGATCAAGTGGGATTCATCCCAGGGATGCAAAGATAGTTCAGCATAGGCAAATCTATAAATGTGATATGTCACATCAACAGAATGAAGGAAAAAAAAAAAAACCATATGATCATTTCAATTGATAAAAAAAAATTTGATAAAATTCAGCACTTTCTGTGATAAAAACACTCAATAAATTAGGTATAGAAAGAATGTATCTCAACACAATAAAGGCCATATACAACAAACCCACAGCTAATATCATACTGAATGGATAAAAACTGGAGGTTTTAGGGCCGGCTCATAGCTCACTTGGGAGAGAGTGGTGCTGATAACACCAAAGCCACAGATTCGGATCCCTGTATAGGGATGGCTGGTTAGCTCACTTGGGAGAGTGTGGTGCTGACAACACCAAAGCCACAGATTTGGATCCCTGTATAGGGATGGCTGGTTAGCTCACTTGGGAGAGTGTGGTGCTGACAACACCAAAGCCACAGATTTGGATNGATCCGTTGCCGGACACGGAAAAAAGACAAAAGACAAAAAAAAAAAAAAAAAAGAATATTTGTTTCTTGGCAGTATAGTCCCCCAAATTTAAAGTAACATAACTTTATGAATATCACTAATTGATTATAAACCCAGATATGACATTTACGTCTGAAATATTTTTGTCTTTTTCTAAAAATAGTTTTCATTTTCCCACTATGCTATACATGTTAAGGGTAATCAGAATTATAAAATGTTTTAGACATATATGGGATCTTAGAACTCACATATGGCAAATTCTTACCCAATTCATCAATCTCTTCTATAATATTATTAGCAGATAATCATGTGGAATCTATTTAAATAGGCCAGCTATGACTTTGAAGCACTCTATTCCATTGTCAACAAGTTCTTAGTGAAATATTTCAGTGAGCTAAGAGCAATGGGGTGGGGCAGAGGAGATGTTTCAGGCAGGAGAAATAAAATGAAAAAAACATGAAAATGGGAATGTGTTA